CCTCGTCTAGGCATGCTCCTTGGTTAATTAAGTATATTTTGTTTGGAACAATTTATACTAGAATTATTACATTTTCAATTTCGTATTAATTTAGTTTTCCTATTTTATGTATTTTCGTTCTATAAGAATTAATATTTTTCATTTTAGATATTCTTGATTAGTAAAAATTAGCCTTTTCCTTTTAGATACTCTTAATTAGCAAGAATTAGTTTAGTAGAGATATCTATGTAATTCTGGGACAAATTAGTTTTTGGTGAATTAAAAATAAATTGCATAGTATTTTCTTTTGTTCGTTGGACGTGGATTTAGTTGGACGTGGATTTAGTAGGTGACTATGCAAGAATTTCTTGTGTAATTTGTTATTTTCTTGAGTAGATTGTTTTGATGGCCGTTTGCCTGTGATTTTTTCATAATTGAATTTATTCCAATTGTGATTTTCACATTAAAATCTCTCGTCCTTATTTGCTTATATCTAGTTCGGTTTGGTTTCAATTACATATTGTGTTTGTATTAATTGCTCAATCGGTTGTGAGATCGGTTCAATTGAATCGTTGTAATTACAGCTCAACGGATTTTGAATTTTAAGGGTTTTTCAATTATGTTATGACAGTGTAATGGACATTTGTTAGGAATAAAATACAGTCAAAAAAATACAAATTTTAATACAAATTTCACATATTTTTATATATTTTTATAAGCAATACTATACTAATAAAAAAAACTATACAAAATTTTCATATATAATAATGTGACTTATTGTAGACCTTTCATTTCAAAACAAAATATCATTAATTTGAAGATGAATTTATTTATAATAATGACATTACAACATTATTGTAATAATCCCATCGTGTAATACCTTATATTTAATTAATGGCAGAGATTTAAATTTTAATTGCCTACTATTATGATGCAATTTGGGAATTATGAAAATTATAGAGACTAATTCGTATACGATTCTATTGAAGATTTATTTATAATTAGAAATTAAAAGCCTGATTGCCTCAAGAAAGGATAAGTAGTGAGTCGAATTATTTTAATTTCGAGTATCGGACCATATGAGAGTTTTATTAAATATTCGATTCAGATTTGTAAACTTGAGATTTGACTGATTGGGTTCGAATTAGAGTTATTAAATTAGAGTTATTATGTTATGAGGAGTGGGAATTACGATTATTGCGAATTAAATTAATTTATGAGGTATTCAATCGGAGTATGTAATTTATTGACGAAGACCTTGAGTTTGACCTGAAATTGAAGGTCTTACTGAAGTGAGAAATCACAATTGATGATGGAAATAAGCGTAATTTGATGTTTGGAACCTTTTGGGAGTTTTATTAACAAAAAATCTGATTTAGACTAATAAATTAAATATAATTAATTGGGTTATAATGGAAGTCAAATTAGGTTAATTAAATTCTATGGGACATGTGATTAGTCATGATTAGGCTAATTATGTCGTTGATATGGAATTGCATGTCTAAGGATGTGAATTATAAGAATTTGAAGTTATATCTGTTGATGGTAGAAAAACATGTTGAAATTACAGGTTTAAACAGAAAATTGAGGACCTCAGAGATGTCAGAAAACAAAACCGATTAAATATTTATGATCAGCATGATTTTTAGAGCCAAGTATGAAGTTTTGTAAAAATCTGATTCAGAATGAATTAAATTGATTTTATTAAATATTATATATTCGATATACATATATATATATATATATATGTATGTATGTATATGGGCCTTAGTTGAGATAGACTCAACCAAAAAAGGAAAAGAAAAATCTGGAGAGAATAAAGAGAAGCAAGAGAGAAGCAAGAGGGAAAGAAAAAAAAGTTCAAGAATGAAGAAGAAATATAGGGAAATTGAAGGAATTGTAAGGGAATTCAAGAATTTAATTCAAGGTATGTGTAAATCAACTAAAACTCTTGGAATACCTCTTTAATTGTGTAAAATCAAGACTTGAATTAGAGATTTCACACTCAAATGAGTTAGGCTTTGAAACTCGTAAGCTTGAGCAAATTATACTCTTGAAATTAAACATGGATTCCTTGCACTTGTTAGATTTGAGAGTTCATTATGAGAAGTTGTTAGATTTCCTTGCACTTGTTAGATTTCCTTATATTTGCATATCTTGAAGTTCATTGTGAGAAGTTGAGCCTTAATTTTGAGGTTTTGTATGGTTTGAACTCATAAAATTATATATGAAATGAAGATCTATGTGAATTTGAAAGAAGAAGTTTTGAAAAAGTTCGAAAAAGAACTAAATAAGGATTTTGATCTTTCTTGCTTGAAGATTTATTATATTTTTGATGTTTTGATTTAGAAAATAGTTATAATCTCATGTTTTCTATTAGTTTTACATGTTTTTGAGTGATTTGAGTTGAAACCTAGCTTGGAAAATGAAAGAACAAGTAATAGAACCAACATATATTTTCGGTAGCTGAATTTTTTCCAAAGTCGCACGTACGATGGGGCTTCTCGTACGTGCAGAAGTCTAATTCCAGCAACTATTTAGCTTCTGAAATAATTGCACGTGCCCCTATACATGCCCTAGCTTTCCCGCACATGCGGTTTTGGTCCCGCACGTGCGGAACTCCCCTGTTTCAGCCTAGCTTCGGATAGGTATATCTCCCTCCGAACTATTTTTTAAGTGATTCTTAAGCCTAAATTCAAGCCTCAGAAGTCTAGTTTTCAATGGTAGTGGTCTTACATCCAAATTCTAAGTACACAAATAGATATGTTCAAATTAGTGAAGGCTGTTCACTTTCTTTCTAACCGCTTCATACTATTTCCTCTCCTAATCCAGTTTCCTTTCATTTCTTCCTATTTTCCTAGACACGGATTATGACCCAGTGGGGACTAATGAGTTTAGAACCAACATAAATAATTGGTTAAGGAGCAAAGTAAGGGATCGGTTTATTTGATTAAGAAAAGATTCAGAGAAGTAAATTTGATCGAGAGAGCAATATTATGTCACTACAACAAGTTAGGTCTTGAATGACGAAATTTTTTTGTCTCTAAAGAGCTAATTTCGTCACTATAGATATTTGTGAGGAAATATTTTCGTCACCGGTTTCGTCATTGAATGTTTGTCACTAAAAACCAACGTGACGAAAAATAATTTCGTCACCAATGAAATTACTTCAGTGACGAAATTTTTTGTCACCAATAAAACAACATTTTGTCACCAAAAATTCTCATTTTCGTCACCAAATAGTTATTCAGTACCATATTTATGACTTTAGTTGACGAATAAATTTGTCACGCATGTTGATCATTGATGAGGAAATAATTGTCACAATAAGATGTAAAGGTGACGAAATTTTTTGTCTTCAAAAGTCATACATGGGTGACGAAATATATTTCGTCATAAATATATATACACGTGACAAAATTTTTAGTCACCAAACAACAAAATAAATAAAAATTTTCATATATAAACTGCAGTAAATTTTGTCAAAAAAAAAGTTTATTAGTGACGAATAATCACTTTGTCATAATAAGAAGTACAAATGACAAAAAAATTCGTCACTAAAGTTGTTCCATATTTTATATTCAATTTAAGTTATTATTTCACAAATATCCCTGCTCAGATCCCAATAGCCTTTTAATTGTACTAAGAAATCCACTAGCTATTATACACCACTTCACACAAAAATTCACTAAACCATTATATTATAAATCAAAATGTATCCATCAAACAACTTTAATAATAATCCATTATGTATAACAAAAAAATCATCAAAGCAATTCCCAAAATGAACTAATGTGGAGTCCACAAAAAAAATCAACACTCAATCTTGATTTGCAACTACAACTAAGTATCAGTTCAGGAAATAAATAAATAATTCAACACTTGATCTTGATTTGTAAATATGCTTCCAAACGTCATCAAAAACCAATCTGCAAAGAAAATAAATAAGGAAGACATTAATATATTATTAATTACATCTAAAATCATATTTAAATAATTTTATTTTATAAACCAATTTAATAGAAATGCATATAACAATCCAAAACTTCAAAGAGTTGAAGCAATCCTTAATGATAAGCAACACAGATAACCGAAGATGACAAAAGATTGCAAGAACACCATGTATCACTAGCACTAATGCCAACAAGAACCAAAGAGAATCACATGATGTGTTCGCAACCTAATCAATCAATAGTTTTTATAGGAGTTACCATTTTCATTTAAATCTAAATATGTTCCTATTTTATTTTGAACTTCAACGAGGTAAAAGGTCAAAACACACATGCAAGCAAACATAAAAACAAAAACAAATACACATGAATAGATATTGAAATAAAAACACAATTAGATCTCCAAACATTTTGGGTTAATTATATTTTATATGGTTTTGTCCAAAAACACTTACCTCCTTCATGTTTAAAAATATACACATAACCCTCTTGAAATTTGGAGTAAAGTGCAAACGTTGCAAATTCTGGTTAAGTTAACCATGCGTTAACACACTAAATTGAGCGTGTGTTAAGAAATATATATAATGATACTTTTGCCCCTTTTTCAATTTGCCTTTTTCTATTATTTTCTTCTTCATTCCCTCTCCCTCCTCCTCCTTTCTACAGCAGCAGACCCACTCGCCATTCCCCTTCTCATTTCCTCCTATATTTCACATGCCACCACCAACCAATAGCCTCATGGGCCACCATGGCTATCAACCACCTCTAAAACAAAACCCAGTATCCACTTCCCCAAACACCTAGGTTGGGTGACTTTGCAAGACACAGTCCACCAAGACACCACCATGCATGGCCAAACCCAACCCTAACACCTAGTGGACAAGCACATTTCATCCCTCTCATCTTTCTCTCCCTCGTAAGGAAGGAAAATTTAAAACTCATCTCCCTCTAACAACCTAAAAACAGAAAGTTCTAAACACAAGTTCTAAAGGAACATATTAGAATTATTTCTTTGTTATATGGAAACACTTTTTCTTTGTTGTGCATTATTTCTTTGTTATATGGAAACACTGTTTCCCGTGATACAAGGCCCAACTACTATTAAAATTATTTAAATTTCCTTTTTCCAGAAAAGACATGAAATAAAAACTGATCATCAGGCAGGTGGTGCAACTTAGAGGTGAAGCTTCTTACAAGCTAATAGCTGATAATTAGAAAGCAAAAGTTGAAAACACCCATTCCCCTACTTCCTAATAATAAGTCTTTTTCAACTTATTTAAGTTATTTTTGCCTTGTAAGTTGTAAACAAAAGCGCACCAAATACTTTGGCACACATTTCCTAAATAAAAAAATCTACAAGCAACTCCATAAGATGCACCAAACAGAGCTAAAAAATGAGATACAATCTCTAAGGAGCCCATGAGCAGAAGATAAGTAGAATAACTCACCTGGTGGACTGTGTCATGGTAAAAGTCATTTAACTTCAAAGCATGCGCAAGGCTCGCTGTGAACCCATGAGAGACACCAATATTGGCACCAACATACTCTTTGTATGGAAATGTATAAAGGTGGCCCACAGCTGCAATAAGCATCTCAACACAAATTATAAAATTCTGGAATTCAACAGCCTCCTCTGTATCCCTTATAAATCCAGATTTTGCAGCAAGAAAAACAAGAACACCCTAATGGAAGAGAAAGATAATAAGAAACATACTGGAAGTCTTACAAATCCCACATCTATATCAACGCAAAATCCAGCTACAATATGAGCAAAAAAAACAATTTTTATGCATATCCAACAGGAAACCATGCACACTGTATTATTTGTTTACACTTTACACCAATTTCCTTTGTTCAAAAAGAAACAAAGTGAAAAAAAAAAAAGGGCACCCAGAAACCTGTTTGGGCCACATTCAGAAGGTATTCCAAGGTATGCATTGCTTCCAGCATTAAACATACAAGTTATTTAACTACAATTTTGGGGAGTTGGCATTCTTACAACTAATCAAGCACCAGTTGTTTTTTTAGAGAAGGAAGTGATCACAAAATTCACATCACAAACTATTACACCTTGATTATATTTCTAGGAAAGGAAAATTACAGTGACCTCTCTTGAGGTTACGATTAGAAAAACTCTCCTTAGGTTTCTTACATTACACTTAGCTTCCCCAATGGTTTATTGACATATCAAACCACCTTTCCCCAACCCTTACAGGTTAGTAGATAAAGAATGCCAAGCGGCTCCTACATAGGCTATTTTAGTCAGAAAATATGTATTCATGAATGTACAGGATGTCCTTCTCATCACTTATCCTCCAATTGTCTCACCACCAAACAAAAACAATCAATTACCATCTGTTTTTTTTCTATTCAAATATTGATCACCATAATACTGTTAATAAAGGAAAATAAAAACCAACTGGCATAGAGACAGTTTTCATTGTGGCAGCCACAAAAAAAGCTATGGAAGATGAAGATGAAGATGAAATATGATAATGACAACAATTGCAGTGGGCACAATTGTCAGTTTTGAATCTACTACACATCAAAATGCTGATGTGTTCAGAGAGTTGCTGCAAGGTTTGACTAACTGTGGCAAGGGGTCCATCATGAGGAAATGTGAATGGTCAACAAACATGGAAAGATGAAAACACTGATGATACTAAGAGGTCATGTCAGCTTTCTTACATTGTCCTCAATTCCATGTTATGAAATGATATGCTAGGTCCATAATATATAAGTACCTTTTTATAGGAAGATTTTATCAATTCTTTTCCATTTCTATCAAATTCCATGATTCTTTTATGACATTTTCTTAATAACATCTAATTCCTTTATTCAACAAAGGGTCCATTTGCATTCAATAATTACTTCTAGACTAATCAAATAGGTGCGGCACATCCTGGAAGCAAGTTTGTCATGGATACAAAATGTCAAAGGTTCAAATCATATAATCCCTGCCACTTATTTCTCCTTCTATCAGTAACAAGGGATCAATTGAAATGGATGGACATAACAGGTTCTAGAAAGTCATGTGAGAGGGAATGAAGAAATATGAAACTCGAAGAAAACATAAAGAAATAGGATATTATTTATTTCAACTAAAGAGATGGACAAGGTGGCAGGTTTAACTCTGCAGATGTGATGGAAATAGAGAGATAATTGATGGCGGTTCCAATACTTTGTCATGGTGGTGGCAACTATTTGTTGGATCATCTATGAACTTGATGGATGCTTTAAGGAAATAAAAGGGTCTGCAAAGACTAAAAATATTGATCGTTAAAAGTGGAGATGATAGTATTTGATGTTGGAGCAGAGTGTGAATTAAGGATAATGTGTTGGCTCTGGACATAAAACAAAATTGAACAATAATGTGAGTAGTGGTTCCACATGGATATTGGCTGCAGAATACGTAGAATAGTTGCACAATATTATTGTTATTTAGTCAAGAAATCAAATAAGAGCCAGAGTGCCATCTTGATATTGAGAAAAACTTTAATCACTAAACCATATGTCAATAAAATAATGGTCGAATAATAGTAGGGAAGGAGAACTATAATAGGAAACAAAAATGGAGGGAACTGTAACTTTAGAAACCACAAGAATGGTCTCTCTAATTGTCAAAAATCTCAAGGGGATAAAATGTAATTATTCTTGTAATTAAAAAAATCCCAGAAAGTAAGGCATTAATATAAGGAATGCACCATTCTAGAATTAGGATTCAGAAAAGGCTGGGAATTCAATTCAGTGATAAAATAATGACAAAATTAGATAAGATCCTACCTGCCAATAGGTCAAGAAAACAACAAACTTGATTATGATAAACTTTGGAACTGGATTGAATGGCTGAAGTAAATCTCTGCACGCCACATAAAACAAGGCCAACGAATAGAGCAACACTGAGTACGATACTGTATAGATGACGGTGAGATAAAGGTATGCCTGGTCCACACTGAAATTCCCATCCTGCTATTAGTCAACCAGCTTTCAATTGTCAAGTAGTAGTCAAAACATCTAAACAAAAACTGACTCTTTGGTGCATGCATTTCCATCAAAGTTGTGCCCTAAAAACACCAGTACTTCCTGAACGTCAGTTGCTGGAACTTTGTAAATCTGAAACAATATATATATATATATATATATATATAAAGGGAATAAGTTCAGTCGAAAAAGAAATAATTTCATTTTAAAATGTTGAAAGAAAGAATAAGAACAAACAGTGAGTGATCAGTTATGCAGAGGAGATGCGGAAAATATAGCGTACCTTCCCTTTCTTGTACACGAAACTAAAAAAAAAAAACATGTACCATCCCAAATTTTCAAAAACATCATGGGTGACAGACAAGAATGAGGAACCTATAAGTCCAGTCAAATCATTCCAACTCAGGAATATAAAGATTGCACTATCCCTTCCAATCATTTCCAAAATTCATTAAATAAAACCTCAAATTACTTGGACCCTAAGGGTTGTCACCATGCATCAAAAACCAATCACAGTAGATGGCTGATTAATTTAAAACATACTCACCCATCTAATGGAATGGGAGAAAAGCAGCATGTCATCAGATACCAGCTTGGCTTCAGAACCCGACCACTTAAACTCAACACAACAGCTCCTGGTCCACCCACCCATGCCAGGCACAATGCCAAGAAATTATAAATAACCCATGCTTCATATCTGAAACAGTATATTAAAAATTAGCATGTTCTACCAAAAGCAGTGTAAAGCTCTTGGAAAAAGACTTGAAAAGCTGAGATCACTGAGACCATTCAGTGAACACACATCTAATACTATAAAACGATACAAACTTTGGGATTAGCTCGGTATGTGAACAAATCACGCTACATTTTCAACGGTAAACAAGTCAAACTTGAACTCATTTTGAAACTTGTTCATTTTTCAAGCTAAATTTGAGCAACCAACTACTTGGCATGACTTCGCTTGTTTACAGCCCTATAACATGAGCACTAGGCAAGTAAATGAATAAAGTATTCACAATCTAAAAAAATATTCATCAACAACATCAAGTTTCAAAGCTTGAATACGAATTGGCTAGAACATCTGAAGAATGAGAAACAAATAAAACTATTGTATTTAAAGTCAGTTACAAAAGAAGTGGCGATTCCTATCATTGGTAGAGATATAGACTGGAATAGCATACCTAGAAATTCTAGAGCTACTGCTTCAACTGATTATTCAGCTCTCCCTGCTGAGCCACACATGCTCCAAAGTCATAGATACACCAAAGATTAAGTGCATGTCTGTGTATCCAAGCCAAATAGCCATGTAACAGATAGCAGCGCACAACCCAACAAGCTGCAGAAGTTAGTTGCAAAAACCAGAACACGTGGCAAACACAAATTACTGAAATCACTAGTCCCCATTCACACACACAAACGATAAATAAATAAATAAAATATGATAGAAAACGCAGAAATCAAAACCTTTAATTTTTAAGGTTGGAGAAATAGAACTGTGAATTGTATTAATCCTATATTGTATGGTTATTACAAGACAGGAAACTTATTAAACATTAGATGACAATACCAGTAACAAAACGGTAGTCTTCTCGAACCCCTGAGTTGAACTCCAGAGTGCTGGTGAAGAATCCACCATAACTGTCTCAGAATACAAATTTGGAAATATGTGAAGACCTGATGTAGCATCCCAAGCAAGTGCCACAGGTGGAAAACAGTGCAGTTTGCAAAGTCTTGCTACCAGGAAAGAGCTACCCTTAGCAGAAATAGAAAACAAAAACCTGATCAAAAGAAATGGAAAAAAAAAAAAAAAAAAAAAACCTCTGATAGTAAGGAAATCCAGAGATCATAATTTTTTAAGCTAAACATTGAAAAGAAGAATAATGATGCCCCAACTGTCCAAATTTAAATCAAACCAAAGAAGATATACAATATTCAAAATACCAAAAAAACCCGAACCTTCAGTGTTTTTAGATTCATACTAGTAAGTCCAAATCCTATCATTTAAGAAACTGCCATCAACTGACAGGTTTATTATTGTGTCAATGTTAAGGTTAAAACACCTTAGTAAAACTCTAAACACTCAACAAATGGAAAATTCATATTTAAATTGTAATTTCAGAAAACCATCTTTTCCATGTTTTTAAATCTCCACGAGAGGCCGATGTTGTCAGGGTATGAAAACCTGACAATTAGAAAAGCCTTTCTTCTTTTTTTTTGATAAGTAAAATTTCAATTAAGAGACACAAAAGAAGGGGCTACAATCCAACTATGCGCAAATTATACAAGATCATCAACTACAGGAAAACCTTAATGAGGTTACTTATGTTCATCATATTCCACAAATTAATATATATATAATCCATGTCTGAAATCAGGTTGACTTCATGGAAAATAAATACATAAAGAAAGCCTTATTGCCATTCTCCAGATCTCCAGCCTCTTCAACGGGGAGTACAGATTTTTTTATTCCACATCCTGTAGTTTCCAGAGATAGTTTAACAGGAAAAAGACCTAAGCTAATAGCAAATGACATATTGAAATCAAGAGGATGGTCCTCCTTCAATATTATGTCCTGTGCAAAATTTAAGTAATGAAGCCGTTAGTAGATGAATAAAACTATATAATCCAGATTAAATCACACGCCCAGAAGCTGCTTTATGGAAGTGCTGACCTTCAGAGAATAAGTTGAGAGAAGCAACGACTGATGAGACAACTCTAATTCCCCATCTTTTGGAATAAAGAATTGTCCAACTGCCATGGAAGCAGCAGGTGGAGGCCTTCCTGAAACAGTTTGAGAGCCCGAAAGTCATAATACATACATTCTCAACTTAAACCTCTTTCAAAAGTAACTGAGAGATGCTCATCACATTCAACAAGAGCAAAAGTAACATTCAAAAGATACCGCAGATACATAGGATATAAAATCTATATGATCAACAGAGTATCACAATATAACATGCATACATGCATACAGGATGAGAAAATGAGAGACTCCTCAAAACAAACAAAGATTATGGCATAATGAGAATATTATCATACTAGAAAATAGAAATTCATTTAGCAACAGGGAAAAAAAGAAAAGAAAGAGAAAACGAAACAACAACAACACAGCCACTCAAAGAAAAACTTGTGTATTTAAAAGGCTTTATTGAGGCTGGACTCCAGGCGAGGCTAATGCAAACAGCATCAATGCTTTGATTTTTACGCAACACTCCAAAAAGACATTCAAATAGAAGGAAGGGCACAATAAACAAGATATTCAAACTTAAAACAAATGGGGGAAAAGAAAAATTAGAAATAAAAACATCAGTGCATATCCAGTCTTTAGTAAAGTGGCTATAAAGATCTCATGTTTTTCCAATGGCAATTGCATTGGCAATATTAAAGAGAAAGTCATGCTACAAATAATGTTTTTCAAATAATATGCATTGCTCTGATTTCTGAGATTGCTTTGGAAAATTAACTACGGTGAATTTATGCCAGAATTTTTCTGATATAACAAACACAAGCAGCCAAAGGGTTTCACAAAACCTTCTGATGCATATATACTTGTGATACTATGAAATGGAGAACACATGTGAGACAACAGATGAAATTAAAGAAACAATACCGGACTAGGTGCAACTAAAGAAACAACTTTAGTAAAGTGGCTCTAAAGATCTCATGTTTTTCCAATGGCAATTGCATTGGCAATATTAAAGAGAAAGTCATGCTACAAACAATGTTTTTCAAATAATATGCATTGCTCTGATTTCTGAGATTGCTTTGGAAAATTAACTACGGTGAATTTATGCCAGAATTTTTCTGATATAAACAAACACAAGCAGCCAAAGGGTTTCACAAAACCTTCTGATGCATATATACTTGTGATACTATGAAATGGAGAACACATGTGAGACAACAGATGAAATTAAATAAACAATACCGGACTAGGTGCAACTGAGATGGTCAAGAATCTGAAACCATGCATATCCCCAGGAGCCAACAAAAATACAGTTGATGGAGGAGCTTGCTCAGTCTGACTACCTGGTTCAATCTAGAAAACAAAAACAAAAAAATCAGCTACAATAGCATGTCAAACAAACCAACTTACTAAAATCTGATGCTCTAAAATCTGAAAATTCACGTCATGTATTGAATCCATAAGAATTATGTATGCACAATGGCTATTCAGCAATAAAATTTCAAAACAATACATGTTAATATGATCAATTGGGTTGCTACTTTCAAAACAAAATATTTGGCAATAAGAAAGTTAAAGGCAAGCAAGATTCTACGAGTATATAAGAGTAGGAAAACAACAATGAAAGGGCCATGTCCCTGGCTATCCAATGAAATTCTTCAATTACACGTGTACAACCTCAAGGTTCTGGGAACAATAAGGTGAAATGGGATTGCAGTTTGACAGTTAAAGTACAGCCCTACACTTAGGTTTCAAGCAGAAATCATATTTAAGCTATAAAGCCAAAAATAATACTGAAAAAGTACGAACAAAGCTCCCTTAACAGTGCATTCATGCAAGAAAACTCTCATCTCAACTCAACTCAACAAGCTTAAAACCCTAAATACTTACTGCTAGCTAGTGAATATTCAATGCACTCATATACTGACTGCAAGCCAAGGAAGATACCATGTCATCACAATAAAAACAGATCTATGGCACAAAAAAATGCTTGAAAAAAGGAGTATTGAGAATATTTTCCAAAAGATACAGAGCTATAAAAAGAGTAAGATTATGAGTAAGATTTACAAAAGATACTGAAACATATTCAAGGCATGTAGACCAAAATCTAATGCAAAATTAATGCAATGGACAAAGCTTGCAGAGTGATACAAAGGAAAATAAACCCTATGCATACTTGGATGTACCACACGTTTGACAATCAGATACCTAATTACATACATATACAGACTTCGAATTTCAATTTCCGCCATTAGGGTTTGGAAATCGAACAATCAGATACCTAATTACACACACACACATATAGAAATCACTGAAGCTTTAAATATATATATATATATAACTTTGAACATAGATTATGAACCAACAAAAATCGAACACAGATTTGGCCCCCATCGTTCATCTCGGTGGTTGTAGCAGCGGAGGAAGAGCCCTCACATCTCAGATCTACCATAAATCCAACAGATTTGAAGCCTTCATATCTCATATCGTCGTCGTCCGAGAATGGCACGAAGATGGTGAAGACGGTGGTGGTGGTGGTGTGCGGTGGATGTGAGGGTGAAGACGGTGGCGGCCATGGAAGAGGAGTAAAGGGCAGGGAGACCGTCGTCGATCTGGTGTTTGGAGTTCTCGATACCCAAGGAGTTGGAGATTATTGGTGAAAAGCCCCAAAATTTGAGTTTATACAAAATTTGAGTTTATAACTAATCAGGCATAATAAACTTATACAAAATTCTCACCAAAACTTTCAAAATTTTGACAATTTTGACATCATAAAAAAAAAGTTAGTGGAAAAAATTTAGGTGACGAAACTTATTTTTTTTCTCACCTAAAAGTAAATATTTATTGACAGAAATAAATTTCGTCACCTATTATTTTATTTTTTTTATTATACGTGACAAAATTTATAATTCCTCATGGATTATTCTTATTTAGTGACGAAATTTGTTTTCTTCACTAATTTTTGTCACCATACCAAAACAGAGAATAAGAGAAAGAGACACCAAAGAAAGAGCAAAGAGAAATCATGTACCAAATCATCAAGCGAAGAAGATGTGGCGGTTACCGGCAAGGCTGCTACTGGCGGTGACGATCGACAAGACTAATAGAGGCGACAATGGCGATCGGCGTGGTAGAGGAGCAAGAGGTAAGACAAATTAATACCCTATTTTGAGAGAGAGAGATGATAAACAAAAAAAATGATAAAAAAAATTAATACCTTTTTTTTTTTATTGCCGCTCAATATATCAAAAATTTTCCACCAAAATTGGTGACAATATTATTTCCTCACCAAAAGATATCAGAAATATTAAAACGTTTTGGTGACGAAAATATATTCATCACAAATAATTTTATAATTAGTGACAAATTTTTTTGTCACCAAAAGTCCCAAAATTTTGGCGCCACCGAAAAAAAATAGCGGGAAAATTTTTGGTGACGAAACTTAAGTTTTCCTCACTTAAAATGAAGTATTTATTGACGAAAATATATTTTGTCACCTATCATTTTTATTTTTTTATCATATGTGACAAAATTTAAAAATTCCTCACGAATTATTTTCATTTAGTGACGAATTTTATTTTCTTCACTAGTTTTCGTCACCATAGGTTACTTTTGTTGTAGTGAGAGAAATTCTATAATAAACCCGGTTAAGTAGTTATGCTCTATTCTATAATATAAAATGACAAACATTTGCCACATCAGCGAGCACAGAGGTTAGCCCTCTTCACGCATGAGCTCCTTCCCCTCTTTTAATTAAGGGTGAAATCGTCTAGCAATAAAAATAGTTCGAAAAAAAAAGGATGGCTCTATTTGCATTCAAAAAATTAGGTTGGCCACCTCAATTTAACAAATTTTTATTTATTACTATTTAGTCTCTATTTAAAATGGCCAAAAAGTACTTGACATTGAAAAATATATAAATCAAAGTGTTCTGAACACTCTATTCATACGCAACAATATTGCTCATTTTTCTGTATCTTAGTATATTGTATGATTACACGAGCAATCCAATTTCCCTCTAATATGTATAGCTACTGCACATGATTCTTCTAGGAATTAAAACTTACAATGCAGAATAATTTCACCTAAAATCAAAACGTCGAAGGTTCCATTTGCAAATGTTTCTTCCAGTCCGAAGTTACATTGTGATGTTATCTTGTTACTAGTTTGGGTCGTCAGTGAGACTCAGATGATCTCCGTTGAAGAACCTTCATCGGCTAACCTTCGTTGGCAAACTTTAGAAGAAGAACCTTCATCTCCGATGAATAACCTTCTTCGTTGCTTGGAGTATTCATTTTGTGTTGGCGACGACGAGTTTGGAAATATGGGGGTTCCTCTGATGTTATTCTTTCGTGAATGACTAATGGCGTGCAAAAAATAGATATGTAGTATATTTCTAGGCTTTTTGGGTTTTTAGGGTTCACTACAAGAAAAAATACTTTTGGCGACCACCTTTTTTTTTTGTCGTAAATAGTCCACTTTCTGCGATTAAAATCTAACTTTTGGCGACCACAATTTTTTGGTCACGAAAAATCACCTTTTGGGGACCAAAAAAAAAGTTTGTTGCGGAAAGTATACCTATTGGCGACCAAAGGCTTTTTTGGTCGCAGAAGATCACCTTTTGGCAACCAAAAAAATGTTGGTCGCGGAAAGTATACCTTTTAGCGACCAAAGGCTTTTTTGGTCACGGAAAGTATACCTTTTGGTGACCAAAAAAATGTTGATCGCAGAAAGTATACCGTTTGGTGACCAAAAAAAAAGTTGGTCACAGAAAGTATACCGTTTGGCGACCAAAAAAAAAGTTGGTCACGGAAAGTATACCTATTGGCGACCAAGGGCTTTTTTGGTCGCGGAAGATTACCCTTTGGCGACCAAAGAAAAAAGTTGGTCGAGGAAAGTATACTATTGGCGACCAAAGGCTTTTTTGGTCGCGGAAGATTACCCTTTGGCGACCAAAAAAAAAGTTGGTCGCAGAAAGTTATGGCGGGATAATTTTTTTAAAAAATGGATACTACTGTAATTACATGCTATTTTTCTGTTTAGGCATTAAAAATTTTATAAAATAATAAATAACCCAATTTTTATGGGTTATATATTTTCTCTACCAAACATGAACAAGAAGCATATTATTGGCAGAGTGGATTGGGTGCATGGTGACTCCTTGGTCAGGAGTTCAAGTCTTAGGCAACGCAAAAGAATTAATTTTTTTGGGTCAAGGCGCTGACTTTTGGCGACCAACTTATCTTTGGTCGCTAAAAGTTCCCTATTAGCTAATATGAATTGGACTTTTTTGGACTTTCCGCGACCAAAAAAATTGGTCGCAAATGGTCACTTTTAACGACCAAAGGCTTTTTTAGTCGCAGAAAACTATCTGTCACGAGGCTTTAGCGACCAACTCGCGACCAACGTATTTTGGTCGCAAAAAGGTTTTAGTGACCAAATATGGTACTTTTCCCGACCAAACATGTTCATCACGAAAAGTGTTTTTTCTTGTAGTGGTTATAATTTTTATTATTTGAGATGTTCAAAATAAATAAATAAAATTTTAAATTTTAAATTGACGTGTTCAAAGTAATAAGGTGCCCAATCTAATTTTTAGAGTGCATTTAGAGCTACCAAAAAAAAAAAAAAAAAGACTTGTTGAGATAAAAAAGGAAAAACTCTACAAGAGACTTACTTTATCACAACCTTCACCAAATAAGATTTGTAGCCAGTTATTCATATTTATTTTTGAATAAATAAATAAAACATGGGTAATTGATATGAGGTAAACTATCCACTATAGAAGGAGGGGTGTAATTTTGGTTCAAGCTCAGCCCGACCAGCTTTCAGACCTTGTAAGCTCTCGCCAAAAATTGGGTCAAGCCGGACGCGAAACTCGGCTTAGGCCCATGCCTAGGCCTTAGGGAAATTCGGACTTGGGCTTGGGCCTAGGTCGGGTCTTATAGTTTTTTTTTTCTTTATCAAATTTGCTTAAAAATAACGTTTGGCCTCTGGAAGGCTTTAGAGTGGTCCTGGATCGGGTCTTGGGCTAGGCCAAATGGGCCAGGCTCACAGGCTGGGCCAGAAAACACACAGCCAAGCCTAGGCATAGGCCTAGGCCCGAGGGTTTAGGCTAGGCTCAGGCTCGGGTTTTGGTTGGACAGCAAGCAAGCTTCAAGCCGACGACGGGTCATTTTTATACCCTATACAGAAGTGGTATTATGGGAGGTTACAACTTCCTGATGGTGAGAAGTTAGTTATAATCAGGAATGTTGGTCGAAGTCTATCTATTGTAAAGAGTCTACAATTGCCATCAAACACAGATCTAGACGTCAATTAACATATAGAATAGGCTTGAAATTCAGTTCTTTCAAATCTTTCGGTGTTTTGTTTACATATTTATGGCTTGATCAACTAACACGAGATTAATAGACTTGAACAACATGGCAAGAGATACTTCTTTTTCTCATTAAAGTTATTTTAGTTCTTTCAATCAAACTAGAACCGAACTATAAAAAACAATTTGATTTGGTTCAATTCAACGGTTCGAAAAATTTCATATAATAAAAAATATGAAATATATTTTATAATAGTAAAGAAATAAACAATTAGTAAAGTTAGACAGATTAGAGCTGGTAAATTTCACAATTTAAGAAACAAATATATCACAAATCGGTTAGGTTAAACAATGTACTAAAGCCTTAGAATCGAGAACCCAACCGATTTAAAAATTCCACTATTTTCAAAACCGGACCAAACCTACTCTTTAAAGCGGTTCACTACCTCTCTATCCATCTTCTTTTAAATTTTTTTTTGAATAATCGGATATCTGAGTCCTCTTACGCGTAACTCGACTAATCCTAGGAGATCTCACCACCTACCTACTGGGGCCTCATTTAAAACTAGAACAAAGGCCCTGCATGAACTGGCTCCAATGACCTTATTATTATTAACGAGTATTGGACTTGAGATTTAGAAGAAGCACACCCCGACACTCCATAACCCCTATACTCCATATTGTGCTCACGAGCTAGGTCAACCAGTTGAGGTTATCTTCTTTTCAAACTTCTGTGGACTTTTTTGAGACAGTACTATTGTACGTCTTATTTTGCCGACTAAACTGTTGAAAAAGTTATTGTAGAAATATTGTCAACAATCATAATCACATATTTTCTGGAGTTGTGTTAGTTGTTGTTGCTTGTGATTTCACAGTTGGGGGTCCAGTGTTTTTTGTCACGTGCCCTGTTTCTCAGATTTGAGAGACAAAGAGAGAAAAAAATAAGGGAGGCAAAAGACTTGGAAGAATGAGAACCAAATGAAATGGGTGTGAATGACATTGTTGTTGATAGACATCGACCTGGTTGAATATACACCTGTTCAATCAAAGCACTTTCTCTCTCTCATGGTTTGGATACTATACCAGCACTAAGTAGCAAATAAGGAAAAAAATCTTCACTCTCTCTCTCTCTCTGTCTGTCTCTTTCTCATGGATTGGATACCTGTAGTAAAGTAACAAATAAGGAAAAAAAATCTTCACAGTAATGCACAACAGGTTCCTTGCTTGAAACAGGTAGTAGGTAGAAAGAATAGAAGCTATAGATTTCTATGATAGTTTTGAGAGACGCGTGTTCTTTTTTGACGCATAGACTTCTCAATCCTTCTTATCTTCACATTATTATTCCAATTTCAATGATTGATGACCCCTATATAAATCTCTCTGCTCGATCCTTCTGGACTACTCTCTCTCTCTCTCTCTCTCTCTCTCTCCTACATACATATACACAATCACAATATACATGACAGCTAGCCAAGTGCTCTATTCTTCTTATTGTATGTAAGTAAATAGTGCAACAATAGGTTTAGGGAGGGTTCCCAATTTACCAACTGCAATTGATAACTTAATTAAAATGCTATTTTTTTTTTTTCATAAAAGCTTCCACTTTGAGGTGAGCTGCCATGTGGATAGTTGATAAATATTTGGGTAAATTGGGAGGCTTCTTAATCTTATTGATAGTGCAATGCTCCTTTAATTATGTTATATATTTTGGCTGTTTGTTATTCTTTAAATAAGTTGATTGTAATGTAATTTTATCGTACAGTTTATTAAATAGAAATAACTTAAATTATTAAAAAAATTTAATTATCTAATAGTTGAGTGGGAGAAAAGGGTTTTAAATTCTCCTTTTTAATTATTAACTTTTAATTTATAAAAAACTGCACCAAACTTGTTTATAGACTTTTATGTGTTGATTATTTTCTATTCA